AATTGCTGGGTCAAATGGTATCTCTATTTGCAACTTTTTGAGAAAGCGCCATACCACCTTCCACAGTGGTTGCACCATTTTACATTCCCACCAACAGTGAATAAGGGTCCCAGTTTCTCCACAACCTCGCCAGCATCTGTTGCTTGCTGTTCTGTTGAATTTTGCTATTCTGACTGGGGTGAGATCATATTTCATGGTTGTTTTGACAAATCTACATTTTTGACCTATTAACTGAAAGGTCTGTGTTTGAATCCACTAGCCATTCCATGGGGGAAAGATGAGGCATTCTGCTCCCAATAAGATTTATGGCCTAGGGAACCCAATGGAGGCTGAATTGACTTGAATTCCATGAGTTAGAATTGACTTGATGGCAATGGGTCTAATGGATTTGGACTCTCCATGGGATGGAAGTATGGATGTCAACACAAGGATCACATGCTATTAGCCTCTCTCTCCCAGCTCTCCTTACAATCATTGCTGTAGTCATCAACATTTTCTCACAGGAGGACTCTGACAGGCCTGAGTTGGCTAAGAGCCACTTGGACCACTTCCTGTGGTCATCAAGGTGATTTTCTTATATTGGCTCTGGCTAAAGGACAGAGTCCTGCCAAAAAAAGAAATGGTGTATTGTATTCAAAATGGTTTAACTGAAGATAGTTTAATAAAGGGATTATTACATAGGTACATTCAAAGCTTAGGAAATTTATAAAAGATGGTGAGCAACATCCTTGCAACAGTGGGAAACCAATACACTCCCTAAACTTGAAAGGGTGAGGGAAGGAATTTTGTCATCAGAGCCCACCAGAAGCTGATTCCTTGAAGAACATTCTAGCAAGAATTTGTTAACTATGCAGGAACTGGTAAATGACCACTGCATGACTGTGAAATGGGATGGAGAACTGGTAAATAAAACCCCATCCTGCCTCTCCACTAGCTCTTTGATCTTTTGCTGAGGATACTCTTCCAGGGGGTCAAGCCCAACTCGAAGCCCAGGAGGTATGGAAGCCATGGAGGTGCATTATGGCTGGACGACCTCCTGGGGTACAAAAGGCTCAGAAAGACGGACACTAGATCTAGAGGTGCCAGAAAGACCAGCTAGTCAACACCATTCAAGTTTTAATTTGCTGGGAGAATTAAGATTATTAATTGTAACAATTATTGGAATGAAGTTGGAACATTTTCCTAAATGTGCGTATGTATGTATTTGCATGTGTATGTGGTGAAGATGTTGTTGTTGTTTTGTGCCATCGAGTCATTTTCAACTCATAGTGACCCTATGTGCAAGAGCTCTAAACGCTGTTCTATCCTGTGCCAACGTAGCCATCTCAAACGCACTTATTTCCACCACTCTAGTCACAGAATCGATCCATCTCATCAAAGGTCTTCCTCTCCTTCGCCGCCCCTCCACTCTGCCA